TGGCTGCTTGTGCACCACAACAGCACAGTTGGGTAGTTACGACAGGCTTCGTGGCCTACAAAGCATAAAATGTTTTACTCTCTGGCCCTTTACAGGAAAAGTTTGCCAAATCCTGACAGAATCTCTGATGAGGAATAATAGTGGCCAAAAAGAACATATATCCTGAATATATTTGATTTAAGAAGAAAATTCAAAAATCACCAAGACCTTTCATTTTGACCCCTTAAAAAGTGATGTTAGAACTGATAGCATGTGTTTCTGAGACTAGACTCCCAACCATCCTATCTTTCCCCACCCAGACAACAGTGTTCTTGGCAGGTAACAACGTTAAGTGTTCCACCTGCACTCTGAAATGGGAAGGCGAAAATTGTCCTTTAAATGTTGCAACTTAGGTATTTCAATAATTCTTTAGCCCATCCTTTTCTTTTTGTGTGCAATAATACATATGATTCTGAGTCAGATTTTGCGTAAGACATGGTTTTTTTTCTGACCGGTAAGGGGATCACAACCCCCCACACAGTGTGGTCAGCACCACGCTCAGCCAGTGAGCTCACAGGCCATCCCTATATAGGATCCGAACCCGTGGCCTCAGCGCTACCAGCGCCGCGCTCTCCTGAGTGAGCCACGGGGCCGGCCCACGTAAGACATGTTTCAGGCCTCTCTCAGCAGAAAAAATCCAGTATCTCAACGATGAATGGAATTTATGACTAAACGTGATTTCCAGTAGTGCCAAATTCAATAGATCTTCAAGTAAATCAGCTGATACAGGATCAGGAACAATATACAGTGCTCTGGACATAGCCTGTGTTGTTATCTTGGAAAGAATGTTTTACAGCTTTTCCAGAAGCTGACCCAACCAAAATTATTGCACAACTTGTCTTTTTTTGTATACTGCTTTGGTTTTGTTTTGTTTCTTCCTGGAAGGTCTTTTACTTTATTACTTTGGGACTCCAAAAGGAATATTTTACACCTACTTTACGAATTGTTGTAAACATTAGAAACAATGTATATAAGGACCTAGCTGTGACTAATATGTGATAGGCATTTGGTTATGGTAGTTACTACTAGCAGTAATAAAAGATAACTCTTTTTCCCAGAAGTGGTAGACAACTTAAGGGTTTATCTATAAGCCAGGTGGAGCTTAAGCCTCGCCTCCCTGAAGAATGTGGTTTTTGCACCTTTTTGAGCTGTAACCAGATGAGGAAGAACTTTGAGGGTTCAGAATTGGTATAGTTTCATTTTAAAGGCATTAGAAAAATACAAAAGTGCCATTTTCCCAGTGTATACACTGATTATGTCTAGCTGAGTATTTGGTTTGTGAAAGAACAGGGCCAGTTTTAAGAATATCCACTTAATTTCTTGTTCCTCTTGATTTGTAATCCCATGTTCTCATTTGGGGTTTTCAGAAACAATGTGACAATGGGAACTGAGCACAAAAAAATTGGGCTGAACCTTCTGGCTAGTTCTCATGCAGATGTCTTCATAAACGAGCTTCTTGAGGGTCTTTGAATGTCCAAGCTTATCCTGGTTGGGGAGGCCTGCGGCAAGGGACAAATTAAGTTATTTAAGAAGCTTTTATGAGGAAGTGCTACCTATTTTTCATCATGAAGATTTGAATGCTTGAGTAAAATAGAAGAATTATAGAAAACTATCATCTGTATTTACTGAGTGCTATCTCAGCTCTGTAAGACCAGTCTAATAATCATTTTTTACAGGTGAGGAAACTTAAGGTTTAAAGAGCAATACAGCTACGAAGTATCTGAACTGAAATTCAAACCTAGACACTCCTCATTCACAGGAAATCTAACAAGGGATATAAATGCACAAGAAATTAAAGTATCAGGCAAAATATAAGTGCCATAAGAGAGGTAAAAAAGTTGCTATCAAGATTCAGAGGAAGGAAAAAACACATCTAGCTGGAAAGCTTGGTAAGAAGTAATTTATTTTAAACCCGTTCTATGCAGGATACTGTGCTAGACATTGGGAATATAAAAACTAAGAAACATCCCTGCTTTCAAGGAGTTTGTGGTCTAGTATTTTCAGGACACAGAGCTATATACTTTGCCTGGAATATCGGAGACATGGGGCAATATTTTAGAAAGCACCAGATGCTGTCAGATAGGTATTTGTGGTGATTCTGTTCCCTGTTTGGAATTTGTTTGACTCTGGAAACCTAGACCTGAGCCTGGCACAGAACCGTGAGACTATCTTTTGCTATAAACAGGCACAGTTGGAATTAAGAAGGCTTCCTCTGTAAGAATATTGGATTTCATTCCCCAAACTCCTACCATCCTTTCCCAGTCTGGATGCTGTCTTGAGAAAATGCTCCAAACGTGAAAATGTCTTTAATGAGGGTTTGTTTATTCAGAGGTAACGAGTCAAAGAGGAATTGATTTAGAACATGGGCTTTGTAGTAAAATTACCTATATTTGAATCCCAGGTCCTTCGTTGTGTGACCTTGGGAAAGTTATGTTGCTTCAGTTACCTGATTTGTAAAATGGAGTTAAAAATACTTAGCCTCACAGGGCTGTTGTAAGAGTTAAATGAGATACATGTCAAAAATAATTAACACAGTGATTGGGGTATAGAAAACCATCTAGCAGCCACTGTTATTACTATCAGTTATGATAATACTTATAGAGCTTTCTCCACAAGCAGCACTTGGCCCTGCTTTGAATATTCTCTCAGTGAATATGTCTGTACCCAAAAAATTATAATTTAGAAAGCTCCCAGATAAACTTAGATCACTTTTACTTAAGTGTGTATAAGAACATTTACCTTACACTGTGACACAGGATCAGAAAATTACAAAGTCAAATATAACTAGGATACTGTATTTCTGGTTTTTCATCCTGTTTAGAGCACTTGACCTGGGTGCCAACATGTGTCTCTCTTCCCATGCTCCCAGCCTGAACCCTCTGCTTATTTCTTGACCTCCTACTTATTCAAAGTCCATGTCTCACTGACATTTTGCCTTTTCATCTGAACAATAACACATGCCTGGCATATCTCCTCTTCCCTTGCCAAACTCCCTCTCATCATTAGAAAACAGCTCTTGAAAACAGAGCAGAAGCGTTCTGTGGTTGATAAAATCAGTATATCTCTGGGTCTTCTCAGTCCCTATGTCCTCCACAAAAAGGAAAAACAAACTAAAAATGAGGGAGACACTGGATACAGAAAATAGGAAACAACACAGAAGGTGACGGGAATTTCCAGAATGACAGTGAAAAGCAATCACAGAATGGTAGCTGTGCAGACTAGGTGAGAGAAGTCCAGGCAAGCCTCCATGAGAGACTTCCTTCAGAGGATGAAATTGACAGCCTGCCTGGCCCTTTTGAGAGGACACTTAGACAACTGATGAAGAGTTTGAGGTTGGAATAATGACTACACTGAAAACTCAGCAAGGGGAAAAAACAAGACGTTAACTTCAGAAAAAACAAAAAGTTGTGCGGGAAAGGAAAACTAATGATACTTCACTACATGGCTTACCTTTGAATAGCATCTACATATTAATGAGAATATAAAATTTGATATTGATCTGACTGAAATGATGTAATTATGTTGAAAGGATGGGTATATGTCTGTGGGGGGATGGGGGGAGGAGGAAAAGGACGAAATCTTCTTCCATAGTGGACAGTCAGTGGATAATGTTCAAAACTGAAAAAGCGAGAAGTGACAAAACAAGCATATTATTTAGAAACGTGGTGGTAAATACCAAACTACTCAGCCAAAATTCTGATTGCTTTTGAGGAGTTAGAAAATAGAAGAGGTGAGCTGGGGACCACCCTTTTTGGGTACTGTTCTTATAGAACTGCTTGACTTTTTACACTTTATGCAAGTGTAATTTTGATTTGAAAAATTAAAACAAAAACAGAAAAAGCACAAATGAATAGTTGCACAGGCTAAAAAAGAAGGCAAAAGAACAATAGCTAGAGGGGAGAAAATAGGTTACAAATTTTATGTATTTATTTTTTTTAAATATGGTTTGCATACAAGGGAAAAGTTTGAAAGAATGTACCAAAATATTTATTATCTCTGGATTTAGAATAATTTTTCCCTCCTTTTTTATACTCTTCTGAATTTTTTGCAGTGGGTCATGTGTTACCTTTATAATCAGACAGAAAAGCCATTTCATATTATAGAAAAAGGAAACAATTAGAAATGTGGAAGGAAAACTGCGTACAAAGATGTTCATTATAACATTGTTTATAAGAGTAAAAAATCAGAAACAACCTGTCCAATAATGAGGAAATGGGTAATAAATGATGGTGCATAAACCCAGTGAAATATTTTATAGGTGTAATTTTTAAAGAGAGACTCTGAATGACTTTATACTCGTATATCATATGGTTTTCACCTTTAGTGATGCTGTACCCTCAGCTAAAATGCCCTTTTCCTTCCCTCCACTTCTCTTTTCACTGGTATTTTTCTTACCATTGCATCCCTCAAGAAGCTCTCTGACAACAACAACCATCACCTACCCACCCTACCCTACTCTTACCTCCATCCCAACTGTGTGTTACCCTCTTCTGAGCAGATCTGTGTCTGTACTCACCAACTCATATTATAATCATCTGTCTGTCTTCCCCACTAAACTGTAACCTTCCTGAAAGCTCGTATTGGGTCTTATTCATTTTTATCATTTCAGTACAAAGCACAGGACGTGATAAATAGTAGGTGCTTAATAAATGTTTGCTGAGTAAGTAACAAGTAATATGGAAAAATATTTGTGTTATCATGTTAAGTAGATCATGGAAAGTAGTCCCTATACTTCAGGGTTGTGTAAGGGTTCTTCAAAATGTTCATGAAAAAATAGAATTAAAAGATAATACAAATATTTTCATAACTTTTTGAAGTACCCTTATATGGAGATTGGATGGGAAAACTCGTGTAAAGCATCTAGCATAATGCCAAGCACATAGGTGTTCAGTAAATAGTGAGGATGAAGATGGTGGTAATCACGCTAACAGTGATAAGAGCTGTGTACTTTTTGTTTTCAGCAGATAGCTCCACTACGGGCCTTGGACCTTGTGGATGGATTTTGGTGGCTGTCTCATTCTTATTCACAGTTATAACTTTCCCATTTTCAATATGGATGTGCATAAAGGTAAAGGACATTTCACTCACATTTAGAAAGTGGTCAACTCCTACTACATAAACCCACTTTGTGTGTGTGTGTGTGCGCAAGAGACATAGCAAGACCGTAGTGGCCTATAATTGTTTTTCTTTCATCTCTCTTCTGGAAAATTTATTCTACTCACCTATTATAATGGAATCTTAAAACTTCTTTTCAGCTATTGTCCAATCAATCGTTTTCTGTGGGTTAAAGTAAGAATCACCATCAAAAATTTTCTGGGGTCAGGGATGTGAGGTGGTCTTCTGAGAATAAGTTCTCCAAAGTTAGTTTGGTGAGTTTTGACTGCTGGCTCTGTGGTTTACTGCATGATCTTTGCCATGTTTCCTCACCTGTACAATGAGAGAAAATAACAGTACCTACTCCATAGGACTGTTGTGGGGATTAAATGAATTAGTTTGTTCAGATGTACTTATCACAATGCCTGGGACATAGTAAGTGCCCTCAAATGCTGGTTATTTTTTCTACAAAGTGATTAGTACTCAGATACATGACAATAATTTACATATTCCTAAAAAGATAAAATATGCTTCAAGCATTTTGAGATAAATTTATTGTTATTAAAGGACTCAGAAGAAAAACTATAAGGATGTCAGTTTTTTTTTTCCAAATTAACAATGCATGAATAATTGAATAATAATGTTAACAGCTAAAAAGTGAGGCTATGGATTTATTTCTGTATACTGTACTATTCTGTACTTTCCATATTTATACAATGAATATCTATTGCTTTTATAATCAGTAAAAAAAAAAGTAAATAATTATCTTTCTAGAGGGTAAACATTGGACATGTAAATATTTGTACTCCTCATGTTAAATCATGATTTATGTTTTTATTCTAGATCATAAAAGAGTATGAAAGAGCTATCATCTTTAGATTGGGTCGCATTTTACAAGGAGGAGCCAAAGGACCAGGTTGGTGCTAGGATTCTGGATTGTTTAGAGACTGAAATTCTTTTTATTGATGTGATTTTTCTTATGAGGACCTCTACTCTGTTGACTTATGAAAGAGTTTATGTAGCAGACAGAAGTTGTACAGCAATAGCAGTGGCTCTAGCCAGTCTTAACTATTTTCACCTTTTCCTTCCTCCCCTTCCCTTCCCCTTCCCATTTGAGCTGATAAGATTATCTTACGCCAGGAATAGCTACAGCTATAGAAGTTTGAGCATGGGACTTCCTACAAAAGAAAGCCTTTCAGTCGTTCATTTGGCAGACTTCAATTAAGCACCTACTATGTTCCAGCCTCTGGGAATTTAAGGGAGACTAAAACACAGTTCCTGTCCTCAAGGAACCTATTATCTTTTTTTTTTTTTTTTTTCCTTTTTGTCTTTTTTCGTGTCCGGCAACGGATCGCAACCCTCAGTGTCGCGCCCGGACCGGACCGGGACCGGCAACGGGATTGCAACCCTCGGTGCTGCACCCGCACATCGCTCAGCCAGTGAGCGGGAACCGGTCTGTATGTGGGATCCGAACCCTCGGCGGGATCGCCACGGCGCTCCCAAGCGGCGCACTGTAGCAGTGCGCCACCAGGCCGGCCCCAGGAACCTATTATCTAATGGTGGGATACCAACAAGGAAACATAGCTGAAATCCCATGTGATAAATATTACGAAGTAGTAACTACAGAGAGCTGTGAAAAGAGGGGAACCCAGAGAAGAGTGACTGACATGAACTGTTCGTAGGATGAGACAAGTCTTTTGGGAGGTGACATCTTGGCTGAATCTCGAGGCATGAAAAAGTGTTAGCCAGTGGGAGGTGTTCCCACCGGAAAAGTAGCATGTACAAAGCAATGTAGAGGAGAGGGTATTGTGGATTCAGAGAGCTGCAGATGGCTCAGGCCAGCGATAGCCCAGGATGTGAAGAGAGGGGAAGTGGCTGAAGAGGTGAGCTGAGGTGGGCCACGCAGGACCGAGTATGGGGCAGGGTTTGTATTGCAGGGAACATTGCTCTATTTATAGCTTAGGAAGTCGAAAAACTACAAGAAATAGAAAGTTGGCTTGGGAAGCAATTGCACTGGTCCAAGTGGAAAAAAAAGAGTGATAGTCACAGTGGAATAAGGAAATGAACTCCACAGGTCTCAGTGGGGATAGGTAGATGGGGGAGGTAAGCAAGAAGAGTCAAGGATAACTTGCCTGGCTTCTGGCTCATTCACTAAGATGAATTGGTGACTTTCAGTTGATTAGGTTGATTCTATTAGAATTGAATGGAGAAGCGTACTGATTAGGGGCTGGTTTCTCTCTATAATCTTCTGCATGTCTTTGTTGCAGGTTTGTTTTTTATTCTACCATGCACTGACAGCTTCATCAAAGTGGACATGAGAACAATTTCATTTGATATTCCTCCTCAGGAGGTAAGGTTTTCTTTTGCTATGAATAACTGAGGATTGTGTGTGAAAGCGCTTTACGATGAGAGGCAGCATAGTTAGAGAATAGGCTTTGGATCCTGATGGCCTTCACCATTTCCAACTCGGTGACCTTGAGCAAGCTTTTTTGTTGTTGTTCTTTTTAAATTATAGCACTTTGTTTATTCTTAAATATTTTAGGGAAAAATTTCAGATACTGCTTTAATGCAAATCACCAGTTTGAATAACTTGTTACGGATCATAATTATTTGTAACAGACATAGATTCATACTTCAAATTCACAATCTTGTTAGCGTTCGTGTATTTAAAAATATAAGTGGTTTTACAGAGAAAAGCCTATTTTATGTCGAGTGTTACAATTTAATCCAGATTGCTTTTGTTCATTTGTTTTTAACTCCATTTTTTTCTCAATTTTATTTATATTTCTTTCTGTGGGGTACAGTGTGTTGTTTCAATACATGCATATACCACACAATGATTCACTTAGGGTAGACAGCATCGAGCAGCTTCTTTAACTTCTCTATTCCTCAGTTTCCTCATCTGTAAAATAGATGTTGTAATAGTAGGACATACTATATAGGGTTGTTGTGAGGAGTAAATGAGATATTATATGTAAAGTGCTTTGAACAGTGCCTGAAAATAGTAAGTGCAATATTAAGTGCTTGCTATTATTATTATTATTATTATAGATCATAGTGTAACGTTAATGTGAGTATAACATTAACATCATCATTGTGGTCATCAGCACCATTTTTACTACCATAGTTCTCCTCTATGGGTTTCTAACAGAAAATCCTATTTAGTACAATATTTTCTTCTTAGGGTTCTTGATTTAATTCTAGATAAACTGGTTAGGAGCCAAAGAGTCAGAAGCTGCTCATTTGGCATTTTAATAAAACTTTCTAAAACAACTTCACAAATACTCTCACAGTTCAAGTTCACAGTAGAATCCCTAGAAAGTATATTACAGTGAGACAAAGGAATTCCTCCAGACTATAGTGGCAGAGCCAGGATTAAAATCCAGCTCTTTAGATTCCCTGTCCAGTGCTTTTTCCACATACATTCTACATTAGCTCCATCGTAGCCCCTGAAGAAATGATGGTCAACCTGGTACCTGGGTCTTAGGAGGCATAATAATCATTGCAGACAGAAAACCTGAAAACATGACAAAGCGGGGAGGGACAGAAGAATGCTGTCCATGTTTCCTGGCCAAACACCAGGAACTCAGCATGATGGGACCTGGCCATGTTGCCTCTCTTATCAAAAATGCAGAAACAAGCTTAGGAATTTCCTTGCTGATACTGATCCAAGTAGGTGGTGAGGTCAGACTTTATGATACACCTCAATGTCGGGATGCCAGAAATCATTTTTACCCACATTCCACTCACAGCAAGACCCAAAACATCACTCTATTCTCTGCATGTTTTCCCATCTTTCAGGGAAGACTGACTCACAGAAGGAGCCCCTTTCAGGGTAGCTGGGAATTCTGGCCTTTTCCTCAATAAACATTGCTGGCAGGGTTGCTGTAAGCTTCTGCCTTCCAGCTGCTCTATCTCCTCCTGCAAGCTGCTGGATGCAGCACGGATTGGAACTTGGCAAGCAATCCTTTTTCCGATCCCCTGCGAACTTAATGTGAAGGAAGATAAACACTCTGCCTACAATAAACAGTAGACAGAGAAGCTGTAGCTTTAGAAAGCAGCTGTGGAAAAGTCAAACTGGCAAGAATGTGTTCAGGAATAACATACATTTTCCCATCACATCATGGGAAATTATTAATTTTCACACAAGATAGTAATTCTTTTCATTTTCAAACCCCCACTTCTCTTCCAAGTTAGAAGTATTTTTAGATTACTAAGAAAAGAAGGATTACTGCTTTGATGCCTGGCAGGGCTACACAGCTATGTAACAACATTATTGTTAGTACTTTCCATCTACCCAGCTCCTTACACTTTCAAAAGGGCTTCCTTTACAAACATCTTCTTAATTAATCTTCCCAGAAATTTAGGTAGAATTGGGCAGTGTTATTAGCTCCACCTCACAAATGAGGAATCTCTGGGTGAAATGGTTTAAAAGCCTTGCTCAAGGCCACCAAGGGAAGTTAAAGCCTCCTGACTCTCACTCCTGAGCCCTTCACAGAACACTGTTCCCAGAACCACATTTCAATTCAATTCATCTCTTGCTTATTGACTACCTGCCAGTGCTAGAGATGCAAAGAAAAACTGCACTTAAGAAATTCGTAGTTGAATAAAGAGAGATGTAAACAAATAATGTCACTGCAGTGAAGCACAATGGATGTGTGAGGGGAGAGTGCTGCTCTCTGCCACATGAGTCAGGAAAGTTTCACAGAGAACAGGACACTCGAGTCATGGTGGAAATGTGCCAGTCTGATGTTGTGAGGGAGAGGCAGGAGAGGGCATCCGAGCAGAGGCAGAACATGTATAAAGGCCTGGGGACATGGAACACGGTGCATGCAGGGACCCGCGCGCAGCCTGATGTAGAGTGTGTGCCCGAGGAAGTGGGAAGCACTGAGGCCAGAGAGGTATTGCAGGGCCAGATGTCAAAGGACTTTGTCTTAGATGTGGTAGGAAGCCACTGAAACCTCCTACACCAGGGATTACTGTAATCAGGACGGAGGTTTTGAAAGATCACTGTTGTGTAAGTATAGAGGATGAATTGGAAACAAAGTGAAATAGCTTCTTTCTTATTGTCTAAATTATCTTATGGGGGTACTTCAAAAAGTCTGTGGAAAGATTCATATTATCTTATAATTCCATTTTTCCACAAGCTTTTTGAAGTACCCTCGTATTACAGTTAACAAAATCAATGTTTTAATCAATAAAGTTAACACCATTATCTAAGACAAAAAAAAAAAAAAACAAAGATAGCTCTTATCATGTGTCAGCCCTATTCTGAGCATTTAAATGTATTGACTCGTTAATTTTAGCAACAGTCTTGTGAAATAGGTAGTGTTATTAATCTCTACAAATAAGACAACTGAGTCCCAGAGACGAAATAATGTGCATTACTGTTTTTCTAGAGCCTCTCACTCAGATAACTTTTTAGTTTAAAATAAAATTATGTCATGTTAAGCATTTTTATGTAGCATGCTATAAATATATTTTTACCCTGATGTCGCCCTGTAAAAACATTCCCCATGTACTTTTTGTTCCAGTAATACTTTTGCTACTTGTGGCTTATCAATCCCAGGCTCTCTCATGCCTCTGTGCCTTTTGACCCACTGCTCTGACTTGAATATTCTTGCACTCCACCCCCAACCCTTGGAAAACTTTTATTCCTTTCTTTAAGACTTAGTTCACCCATAGCTGCCCATCCGTCAAAGCCCTTTAAGTTTTTTAAAGCCTCCTTTGATTCCCCAACCTCCTTGAAAGTAGGAACCAAGTTTCTTCATACCTTATCCCTGGTACCTAGTACAGTGCCTGCCACTAAGTGATGTCCAATGTTTGTTGAAAGATTGAATGAATTAATGGACTTAATGAATAAATGAATGTACTATCTAACGTTTTTTTTAATTAACACAAAATAGTACATATTCATGGTTATAAGTCAATTCATTTTATTAAATTTTTAAAGATATAATTGACTTTCTGATGCCTTACTAAAGAAAATCAGCTAGTGTTATAAGATGTTCTATAGAATAACATTTTGTACACTTATGTTAAAGATATAGTTTAGGGCTGGTCACTTAGCTCAGTTGATTAGAGCGCTATAACAACACCTAGGTTAAGGGTTCGGATTTCCTTACTGGCCAGCCGCCAAAATAAAAAGATTTAGTTGGTTAACAGATGTAAAATTGCTTCCTTCATCTTGTAGATCCTCACTAAGGATTCGGTGACAATTAGTGTGGATGGTGTGGTCTATTACCGTGTTCAGAATGCAACCTTGGCTGTGGCAAATATCACCAATGCTGACTCAGCAACCCGTCTTTTGGCACAAACTACTCTGAGGAATGTTCTGGGCACCAAGAACCTTTCTCAGATCCTCTCTGACAGAGAAGAAATTGCACACAACATGCAGGTGAGGAACGCAGAAATTGAGGAGACTCAATGGTTATTTGAGAACCTTTTATTAACTCAAGTTGGGGGATCTCTGGCCTTTTTTTTTCTTCATACTGAGATATTCCAAACTTGATGGAAGGGGATGTTTTCACACTAACAGCTCGTAGGTCAGTAACACGCAGATGTGTGCATTGTTTTTTATTCCCTCCATTCTGTATTTTTTCTTTCCCCAGAATCAGTATTAACCTTTTTGCTTAGTTTAATAGTTCAGAGGCTGTTCTGCAAGGTAATGCAGACATTGTTAAAGCTTTATTCTGTATATGAGTCCCATTAATTCCCTCGTAACTGTTGTGCGCTCCAGTATTGCTTGAGTGATAGATGTTGAGTTAAGCCTGGCTTGTTCAAAAGAAATAAAGTGCTATAAATCTGAATTCTTATTATTTGTATAGACTTCATTGTGAGTAAAATCTATGATTTTATTTGATACCCACACAACCTTATGAAATAAATAGGATGGATTCACTTCTGCCATTCTAAAGGCAGGTAGTGGAAGCACAAAGAAGTAACATGGCTTATGCAGAGTCACATCAGCTCAGGGGTTGGCAAACTATGGCCCACAGGCCAGCCACCTATTTTTGTAAGTAAAGTTTCTTTGGAATACAGCCTCACCTGTTCATTTATATATTATCCATGGGCTGCTTTTTTTGTTGTTGTTTTTTCACTCACCATGATAACAACAAGGACCATGGCTGCTTTTGACCTACAACTGCAGGATTAAATAGTCGCTACAGAGACTGCAAATAAACAATTACTATATCGCCCTTTAGAAGAAGTTTGCCAACCCCTACATTAGCTTATTAGTAGCAGAATCAGGATCAGCCTCCCAGTGACCCAGTCCCTAGTTCAGCTTCCCTCCACCGCAGGATAACTCTCTCTTTGCAGCTCTCCCCTAGCACCTTACCTGCTCCAAACCCCAAGAACTCAGCCACTGCAGGCGTCAGGGCTGGAGCCGACCATTTTTATCTGCCTTCTCTCTTCCTAACAGTGTACTCTGGATGATGCCACCGACGACTGGGGAATAAAGGTGGAGCGTGTGGAAATTAAGGACGTGAAACTACCTGTGCAGCTCCAGAGGGCTATGGCTGCAGAAGCAGAAGCATCCCGGGAGGCCCGGGCCAAGGTAGTTGGTTTTTCAGTTTGTTTTTCTTACTTTTTCTTACTGAATTTTCTTTTTTAATTATAAAAAAGTAAAACATGCTTACAATTGAAATAATCCTGAATTGTTTACTAAAAGGGAAAGCCCTCCCCATCACTTCACATCCTATTCCCCCAGAGGCCACCACTCTTGACAGTTCAGTGTATTTGGATCTTATTTGACTAGGTTGTTGGATTATTGGCTTGGTTATTTTACAGAAGTAGGGTCATACTGAACATACCGCTTTGCACCTTGCTTTCTTCACTTAAAATCTCATGGGCTTATCCGTACAAAGAAGGTTACGTCACTTTTTTTTTTTTTTTTTGTCCTTTTTGAGACCGGCCACACCGTGCTCAGCCAGTGAGCGCTGTGAGTGCACTGGTCATCCTTATATAGGATCCGAACCCGCAGCGGGAGCGCTCCTGCGCTCCCAGCGCCGCACTCTCCCGAGTGCGCCACGGGCTCGGCCCTACATCACTTTTTTATGACTGCGTGTCCCACACTTTATTTTCCCAGTCCAGTAGTAAGGGCACATTAACAGTTCTGCTGATTTCAGAGCAAATAGGCAACCTCATCAGTTTGTTACCATCCATTCCTTACTTATCTTTGTCTTCTCTTTCATTGTCTTTTTTCCCTCAGTACCTTTTTCCTTCTCACTGTCTCTCTTCCAAGTTTATGTGTCTTCCCAGGTGAACACTAAAGGAGACAGGCCAGCCCTAATTCCACATTCACAGAAGAGAGATTCTCTTTGGTCCAACTTTGGTCAAAGGGCAAAGTCAGATACTAATACAGTCCTACAGCCCCATGCCTGTGAATGGGTAGAGGAAGAGGAGCAGTATTCATAGGAGGGGTTACTGTGGGCTTGACCCATCTCCTAGGACACAAAGGGCAAACCAATTCGTTGTTGTCAGAAAATAGTAGCAGCTGGTGAGAACTGTCTGACCGCAGAACTCTGTTCTTCTCTTAGGATGCCCTTGAAGTCACAAATTGGTCACTATAATTTCTTAGCCTGCACCAGATAGAATAGTAGGCTCATTTGACCTATTGCCTCTAGAATTTTCTATTAACCAGAATTTGTAGGTTTTCCTAATATAGTAATTGATATTTGCGATGATATCACAGAACCCTCATGCACCTTCTTTCCTTTTTTTGGTGGCTGGACAGTACAGGAATTAAATCCTGGACCCTGGTGTTATCAATACCATGCTCCAACCAACTGAGCTAACCAGCCAGCCAAGTACCATCTTTCAAAACTATCAAATTTAGAAGACTAAATTATATTTATAATAATGTTATTAAATATGCCTTAGTGTGGTCTATTTTGAAAATTAGGAATTGCTTTTACCTAGCTTCTGTTATTAACCAAAAGCCCCATTTTCATACCATATCAAATAATGGAATTTACCATACACAGACTATGTAGAAAATCAGAGCCCAAAGGATCCTCAGAGATTATCTTCCAAAGGTGACAAATACCTACCCCAGATGCTGTCACTCCACCGTCCTATCCCCATGCCAGTAATTAACCACAGCACTGTTTTCCACTGAGCTTAGACATGGCCTCAGAACCCTGATGCAGCACTCAAGGTACCAATCCTCACCTGCCCTAAAAATGAAACTTGTTTGCCATCCCACTATCCAAGTGAAAAGCTGAAGCCCACAAAAGTTAAGTGATTTCCTCAAGGTCACACAATCAATTAGTGGCAGTGGAAATTAGAATCCCCCTCTGTTCCTCAGTGCCATTTCTGGGACTTCCCAGGATGGGCCAAGCCTCTTCCACAGCATTCTGACCAGTTTGGAAAGAGTTTCTGTGTTCCCTTTATAACAGTAAGAAAAGATGAAGGAAACTGCTTAGAATTCTGAATTACCATGCTCCCACTTGGGTGGGGCTGTGGGGTTAGTTCTGGAAGCAGTCTCATGAACCTGGGCAGTGACCATCTGTCTGTAAGGTTGGGTGTCCATATAGAATCACAATGGTCCTATCCCTTCTATAAAATACAGTGACCCTGCAACCAACCATAGGCTTAGATTCAAGTTCTCATGGGAAATAGAGGGGTCACAGTTTCTTCAACAAATAAATTGTAGAGGAAAAGAGAGAGATGGTGAGAGAGCCTATAGATTAACAGACCTTAGGGAAAAATTCCTTAAGTTAACTAGCCATCAGGAAAATGCTAATTAAAATTACAAGGAGATGTTACATTAGACATCAACCAGAATGGCTAGAAAGAAAAGAACCAAGTGTGGGTAAGAGAGGAACTGGATCTTATACTCTGCTGGTGGGAGTGTAAATTGGTACAACCACTTTGGAAAACAGTCTGGCAATATCTACCAAAAATGAACATTTGTATACCATAAGAGCCAGTCGTATCACTCCTAAGTATGTATCACAGAAACATGCTCATATGTTTACCAAAAGGCACATACTAGAATGCTCACAGCAGCACTTCATAATTGCCCCAAACTGGAAACACCCAGATGTCCACTCCTAGTTGAATGGGTAAAGTGTGGTTTATTCACATGAAGGAATACTATGTAGCAAAGAAAATGAACATGTAAATACAACTAGAATTTGAGTGAAAGAAGCCAGTCACAAAAGAAGGCAACTTCTCCCATGCATTTTAGTGTATGTTAGCCAAACCTTTTTTAAAAGTTTTTAGACCACCTCTTAATGGCTCGAAACATAATTATCTTTTGTGTTTGTGTTCTCCCTTATTTCCTTTCCATAACTCTCAGAAAAATGCCTGGCAGGTGCTTTCAGGCTCATATTTCTGGGCCCAGCAATCTATTAATTGAGAGGATGGAGTATAAAAATACAGAGGATCGCCTTTCTCTTTCTTTCCTCTGACCAGGACATGTGGTCTACAAAAGGGGACAGGCAGTACCAATCTCACATACATGAAAATGCCAGATTTCAAAATGATGGTCTGTAAATATAAAGTGTTGATTGACATGGGGTTACCGCACATTTCGCAAAAGCCCCACACACCCACAAATAACTTGGTTTGCTCTCTAAGATCTTATCAACAGTGTGTACTTGGCCTATATTTAGGCAAAGCCAATGGTGTCGTGTTCATGTCTTTGGCAGCTTGTGCAGAGCAGCTTTTCTGTGAACAAAATGTGTGCCCAGCCTGGTGGGTCTGGCTTCCCAGCTAAGAGATTGTGTATTGATTGATTGGTGCTGGAAATGAGATATCTTTGTGGTTGGTCCATGTCCATAGAGAAAAGTGCCTAACTGGACATCTGAGATGACATGGAAAAAAATCAGAGCCTGCTCTTCTCATGCAGGGGTTTACTTAGACCTTTCTCCAGTGCTTGCCTCGAAATACAGTTCCATGCTTCTCTTTGAGCATATCTGGCACTTGCCTCTTCACACAGACTAGGAGGGACATGACGGTTTGCTTTGGTAAGTTAAGGCTTTTACCCTGTAAACTGGGTCCTTTCTCTCAGTAAGTACCGTGTCCTGTATCCCCTGTCTCTGTCATTTCACTAGTCACGCAACCAAAACTTAGAAACGTGGTGCTGAGCCCCTGTTCCCTCCTCGCCCCCATACCTAGTCAGTCTACAGATTCTGTCGATTCTCCCTCCTGCATAGCTCCCCAGTCATTTGTCCCCCATCCCCACCACCAGGAAATGGCACCAACCTCTTGGCAGCAGTTCCACTGACAGCTCTCTTCTCATTTTTCCTCAGACATCCAGCAGGGTGTTTTCTCAAACTAGATCTAATGAGCTTTCTTACCTCCTTAAAATGATTCCGCAGCTTCCCATTGCCTGTAAAACGAAGACCAAATACCCCGGCCTTCACTGCCCTTGAGACCCTGGCCCTGTTCATCCCCTACTTTGCGTCTTCTTCACACAGTATTCAGCCACTTACAGTTTTACACCAGCTTTTTTATACTTCAGTTACCGTATCATGTGTTCTGCCTAAACTGTTCTTCCTCTTTGTGCAAACAGCAAACCTTTCATCCGTTAATGTTCAACTTCTACAACCTCACCCTATGCGGCTATTGCTTCCTGTCGGTGGTAGCCCTGTGCCTTGTACACGTCTGTCAGCATTTATCACACTAGAGTGAAGTGATCTGTCTCCATGTCTGTCTCTCCTGCTTGACCAGGATCGGAAGGAGACTGGGGATTCCACTTTCTACCCCACACTCCTACACGGGGCTTATTAACACCTGGACGGCCTCCAAAGTTTGCTGTATAAGTAATGAAAGTTCACTGGGGCCAGACCATTGCTTCCAATTCTGATATTCAGAGGAGTATTATGAACCGTTAATATTTAGAGAACTGTGTGAGGACAACCTGGTCATACTGCACTTTTAATCTTGAGGATTATGATATCTTTATATCTTTTCTTCTTCTAGGATTATGAATTAAAAGTAACTGCCTTGATTTAGCTTCTGAATCTTTTGTGCATTAAAGGGTAATGGATCCAAAAGTCAGATCTTTGTCACGTGCCACTTCTATTTAGTAGCCTCCGTTTATTCATTCAACACTCAGTGTACCTTCTCTGTCTTCTTTACAATCGTCCTAGGAAGTAACTGTTATACCATTTTAAGAAAAAGAAACTGAGGTTCATGATGTTAAATAACCTCTCTGAAGACATTCGGCTAATAGCGTTAGATTTGGGATCTGACCTCAAGTCTATTTAACTCCAATGTCCCTGCTCTCTCCACCACTCCAGTGATCTTCAAAATTTTTTGCCCATGTAACCCATTAAAGAATTTATGTAAACTATATATCCCATTACACATTTTAAATTGGCATATAAAAATTTTTATCTTGAATTTACATATTTGCCAAACATATAATTCGTGGCATGTTGTAAATATTGACATTTTAAAATAAAACTGTTAACATCATTCCTTTAAATGTATCCAGTGAAATTTAAATAACATAATGATTTAATCATCCATTTAAAAATATGTGAATAAGCTCTTTTTTAACAGGAAGTTTTCATTGTTTCTTTTTCTTCTTGAACTCAAATTTTCACTTCACCTTCATCTCCCCCACAGATTCTTTTCCTAATATATTTTTTCATGAATTATTTTATTACCCTACTGTAACACATTTAGTCTGTAAATTCGAATTGAATTTTTTAAATTTCTTGTGACTGCAAACAAGACTCTACAAACATTTCAGAATTTCTCCTAAATAAGAAATAAACTTTTACTAGATATGCTTCTCTTAATGAATGAGTAATTAAATCATATGTGTGCGGATGGCTATTACTTATTGCTAAAATGCGACAGAATTCAGCATTAATTTTAGTCCTGTTTTTCATTTTTATAGATATCAGGACTAAGAAACCTTGTTTACATAAATAAGTAGATGGAAATGGAAGTTTTGTTTAAAGTAATGCTATGCAATTCTTAGCACTCCCTTTGAATTTATGTGCTAAAAAAATCATATAGCAATCTTCCAGAAAAAAATATTTTTAGTGATACATCAGCTTTGTGTTCCTAAGGTTCTCTTTCCTTCCTTTGAAATCAAAGAAATGGAAATCCACTTGATTTGCAAAAGGATTTGTATCCAGTCATTAAACTCATTCATTTTCTCAACCCCACACAGTATTTTGAATTGTCCCTTTGTTTGGGACCCCAGAAAATGGGAGAAAGGCAATAGTAAAAGAGAATGTCTTAACCCAGGCACATACTCAGGCAAATCAGTTTTAAGAAAAAGAACACATAGAAACTGGGTATCTAGAAACTGATTTCCTTAAAACTATTCTGGCATACTGCCTGGAAAATTTTGTGTACCAGCTGAGGTGTACAAACCCCAGGTTGAAGATTGCTGCATGACATGTGATTTTCTCCAGTTTGACCTCTCCTTTTCCCTGTCCTAGGTCATTGCAGCTGAGGGAGAAATGAATGCATCCAGGGCTCTGAAAGAAGCCTCCATTGTCATCACAGAATCCCCTGCGGCCCTTCAGCTCCGGTACCTTCAGACACTGACCACCATTGCCGCCGAGAAAAACTCAACAATTGTCTTCCCTCTGCCCATAGATATGTTGCAAGGCATCATGGGGGCAAAACCCAGAGCCACATAGGCCAGTACAGAGATGAGCTCTACATTCCAAGGACCAAGTGGAGACCAAATTAAATTAGCCTTTAACTCATAAGGAGAAAGTAGGGCGGGGCACCTTGGGAATATCCCTCCCTTTCCTTTTCCATATGTTGAGTGTGGTGTTCGTAGAATGTATAGTCATCATAAGAACAGGCATAAGAACTGTTAGTTTGTAAATAGTGAGAGAGAAAGAGAAAGATTGGTGGTTAATATAAGATAATCTCTTACTCTTTAAAATACTTAAAAGTTTGTAGTTTTAGATCATACATTACATAGTAGGTTAAATCCCTCTTCTTTTGACTTCCACTGAGTCATTCTTAACCCTCTATCAGCAGCCAGGCCAGAGGCAAGAACACAGCCTAGAACTGCCACCTAACACCCCTGGCTGGATAAATGCTTTGCAGGAAGTGATGACCTTACGCTACAGCCAGCTTCTCTGCACCATATGTGCCTTCTCTCCAGGGAGTCTTCATTGAGAAAATTTCCCTAATATCCATTTACTTTCTAAACCCAAACCATGTTTCAGAATAATCCTTACTCTGGGCTGGCCCGTGGCTCACTCGGGTGAGTGCAGTGCTGATAACACTAAGGCCACGGATTCGGATCCCATATAGGGATGGCCGGTTAGCTCACTGGGTGAGCGTGGTGCTGACAACACCAAGTCAAGGGTTAAGATCCCCTTACCGGTCATCTTTTTTTTAAAAAAAAAGAATAATCCTTACTCAAGAGTAAACATTTTCTTGCCTGTATCTGTCAGAACTAGAGGAAATGTCATCGATGAAAAAGATTATCCTATCCCTCCAAAGACTTTTAAATTCACTATTATAGTGGTCCTTTTCAAATAATATGTGCATTTGTTTTTAACTTCTTTGGGACTCCTTTATGAGTAAATGATTGCTGTGTGGTCTGTCAAACCAGCTAAATACTTGTCACAAAAGTGCTTTTTTTCTCACTTTTGCCTATTTTCATATATGGGGTTTTAAAAAGTTTTGAATTTTTAATAAAATTTTCTATAAGTTCTACAAATAGTTATGTACCCATTTGAATAGTTTAAGGACTAAAATACTTTTTAAAAAAATATCTTAAGAAAACCATTATATTTTACTCTCTGCATCTGAATAACTATCGTACACTGTGAAATATCTCGGTTACCAATCCCATGCATTAAGTAGTATAAGGAATTCACAATGTACTGGGCACATAATGAGCTTGGGCAGACACTGTCAAACATAGGGTATCCATACAGATGTAGATCTTTTTTATTTGCCTAGTCATTCTTTTTTTTTTTTCCTTTTTGTCTTTTTTTCGTGACCGGTAACGGGATCGCAACCCTTGGTGTCGCGCCCGTACCACGACCGGCAATGGGATTGCAACCCTCGGTGTTGCACCCGCACCGTGCTCAGCCAGTGAGCAGACGGTCTCTATATGGGATCCGAACCCTCGGCGGGAGCGCCGCCACACTCCCAAGCGCCGCACTCTACTGAGTGCGCCACCGGGCCGGCCTGCTTTTTCTATCATATATGTTGATGCTGAAAGAAGAGAAGTGGTCGGTCCCTCTGGACCAGAGTTTCTTAATCTGTGATATTAGGAAGCACCTTCCATTTTGCAAATGCCTGTGAATCTGAACAACCTGGCATTCTTCCTTTTGAGCTGGAAAACTGGCTGGTGACATTTGTAACACTTCCTCTTTGAGGCTTTGGTTTCACCTGAAGAAGTCTAAGAATAACAGCTTCTTCTCCCAGCACCACCGTTCATATCTATCCTTATTTGAATCACGCTGTCAGCTCCAGCCTATGGTTACCCTTTCCCTACTCCCCATTTCCAAGTTTATTTTAGAAAACCTTGAACTACCATGTATCCCGCTTCCTACCTGAGTTTATTATAGGCATGTGGAGCATTTCAACTTGGAAATCAGGTTGCGTTTACATTTTGAATTTTAAAATGATGGTTTTATCTGTTTTCTGAGGTGGTTCACCCTTGACCACTGAGGACCAGGAAACCCCACATCCTGGCTGAAAATCTCTTCTCAGCATACCAATACTTTTGGTTCCTGAGTTTCCCCATATCCTGATACCAAGTAACTTTCACTTTTCTGCCTTCTGAGTTAATAGCCTAATAGGTTGAAATTAAGTTGCTTGGGAGGGAGGAAGCACAGAAGGAGCTCTAGGATGAAAGTGTTAGTCCAAGAGTTTTTTCCAAGTGGCATCCCTTTCCAACAATGTACATAATAAAGTATATACACTTTAATTTTCTTTGGGTGAGAGTCTGTTTCTGCCTGCATTTAGTATATGTGGATTTCACTTTTCAGAAGTGGCACATCAGATCCTCCAGTCCTGGGCTGGCTGCTCTGGCTTCTTTGTGTGCTCTTTGTGGGCCAGAGGAAGGGGAGAGGCTGCAGTAGGCCATCTGCCATCCAGTGCACCAGCCCATGCATTTTTCCTCAGCGTTTGAGATCCATACACCCCCCCCCCCCAACCC